ACAAACACTAACAAAAAACACAGCTGAAGTCTTAAAAAAATGTTTTTGTTTTCAGACATTTCCCAAATGATGTTTAACAGATTCTGGAATTTTGCACAGTATTTCCTATATTTTATCTTCTGGAGAAAGTCTTATTTGGTTTATTTCGGCTACAATAAGAGCAGTTTAATTAAAAAAAACATTTAACGGTCAAAATGATTAGCCCCTTTAAAGGTGCAATAGGTGATCTGCCTAAATGCTAACCGCTTAGCATAATATCTTTGAAACACAATCCCTCCCCTGTTGTCCAAAGCCATGCCTCCTGAAATCACGAAAGTGCACATTAAAGATGACAGAGACCCATTAGATCATGTTAGAAAACTTTATAGTACTTCATAATACTATAATTCTGAATGAAAAACTGTAGTATATCTAGCATGTTTTCAGTTGTGTAGTTAGCAAGCAAAACTTCATCACTCTCTCATCAGTCTCACTCACGTGCTTTGTCCTAAAGTGAATACTGTATGCTTAGTAATTGGCTGGCGGCTTGCAGGACTTACACTTATTACCATACCTGTCAACCCTCCCGTTTTTCCCAGGATTCTCCCATATTTTACCGCTATCATCCCGTAAAGGTATTTTCTCGTATTTCTCCTGTATTTACAGTCTTTCTCTGAACAGCCGAACCTCCCTTTACACAACCCATACCGCCAAACCACCAGGGGTCGCCCCTTGCTCTAAAACATGAGTCTTCTGTGCTTTCGTTTTATTTAGGAATGAAGACACTTATAAATAAATATTAAAAACGGAGCGACTCCATTTCCTTTTGATTACAGGTGCCGTCGCCCATCCTATACAATCCTCAAAACAGTCATATAATGGTGCGTGACAGTCAGCTGACGTGCTCCATAGTAATAAACAGATGCTGTTTTCCAAACGGATTCTGTACACGCGATTTGAAGTGGAGAGAAAGTCTGGATTTGGGTGCGTGTTTAAACAGACATACACACATAATTAATAATAATAACATATAAGGATGTTGATCTTGGTGGGGGTTTTTCTCCAAACACAACTAATTTTGTCTTGAATGAGCATAAAATGTTTGGAAAGCCGTCGAATGCTTTCATTAGATGTGTGCATTTTTAAAGTGAAACCTCTTATTTAATGTAATAAAAAAAATCTTAATAAATGAGAGATTCATTCATTGCTCTTTAATCAGAATGAGTAAGTTATACAGTGGAGAAACGGCTAATGAGATTTGATAGCTTGATTATTTTTCATTATAATAGCTATTAATTTTAATAAGCTGGACTGTTTGCTAATGTATTTGCTGCTAATGTATATATTTATTTTTCTTTCGTTAATAATAATTGTAATACATATTACTGACAATTTAACTGTTTATTTACAATGAAACAGCTCCAAAATAAACATACAGGTATTTAGTAATTTGGGGATTTTTTAAGGGTGTGTGTCGGGGGGGGGGGGGGGGACAGTGCTACCCAGTGCACCACCGTGCTGCTCCAGCATCAAACATCTATTAGTATAAGTTATCTACACAATGAATAAAGCAGAGTACATGACGTTTAATTTTACTCCTGGGTTTATAGCAAATGTCTAATGTCGAATCTATCCACAATCTCCCAGAAATAACTACATCTGCATGTTTAAGCTCCCAATACAACAAGATCATCCTAAAAATAAGGATTTAACCCTACATTTCCACACAATGTTGAATTAAGATAGTTTAAAAGTCTAAAAACAAACAGTTCAAAAACTCAAGCCATTAAAAGCGCAACCTATAGGTCTACCACATTAACTACCACTGTCTATTAATTCATTATCCTTCAGCGAAAGCCTGGTTTATACTCCTGTGTCAAGTGATCGGCGTGACCCACTGTTTCTGTTGCTCTGCAATAACACTTCCGAAACACTAGATGGCAGTGAAGTGTTAATGTTCCTCTGTGTCGAGTTTCTTCGCTGGTGTTTTGTTTTTTCTGAACGCTTCCTGAATGTACAAGTGGCTCAAACTCGCACATTTTGAGGCAGGAATTGGCGGATTTGCAACAACTTTAACCATGAGGTACACACAAAACAAAACTTTCCATCTGGAGCTCCCTCACGGGACTCCACACTTGTAAACAATCACTCCCTCTGGTTAGCGTGGCTCTCGGTCCCGCCCAGACTCGGCAGAGCTACCAAGCCGACCAATCACAGAGCTTGCGCTACGCGTCATTGCGATCTGTAGTTACATTTTTTGAGAGGTGCACGTCAGCGACGCCGACGGCCACGGCGTAGTGATATGCATCAACACATAGGCTGTGCCGTAGCATACGCATGCGCTTGACGCAGAAGTATAAATCAGCCTTTAGTCTCTATTTCAGCGGTTGCCACAGTGGAATGAACCGCCAACTCTTCCAGCATACGTTTTACACAGCAGGTGCCCTTCTAGCTGCAACCTAGAACTGGAAAACACCCATACACAATCATTCACACTCATACACTACTACCAGTTTAGTTTCTTCAAAATCACCTCTAGCACATGTCTTTGGATTGAGAGGGAAACTGGAGCATCCAAAGAAAACCCACACCAACACGGGGAGAACATGCAAACTCCACACAGAAATGCCAACTGGCTACCACTATCTAATGAAACCATATTGTAAAGTGTGTTGCCTAAATAATAAATGTTTTATTCATTTATAATTCATGGCAGTAGCAAAAAATAGTGCAAGACAAGGCATTGGGCATTTTTTTACACATTTCATACAGTACAACCCCAATAAAAACAACTAACAATAATCAGCAAGCAAAACAACACAGAAAGTAGACGTGTACCACTAAACGTAATCGATGCTGTAAGCAGATTTGCCCTTGTTAAATGCTGCGCCGTCTCTGATTACTGGCTCCGTTTCACACAAGTGCTTGACTATCATGCAATATGAGTCCAGACTTTCAGCTGAGTCCTGCTTTCATTTTCAAGGTGCCCAACGGCGTTTTTCATGCCAACAGGAGAACGACACTGAGCATTAGGGTTGGGTATCGTTTTCATTTTAGTGATTCTGTATGTCGAATCCGGTTGTTTCGATAAGAGCAAATACTTGAAATCAGGGTTGACATTAACTTTTTTGATCACCAGACATGGTGGCTAGTATTTTTCCAACAGTACTAGCCACTCAGCATTTCCACTAGCCACACTTTTGCTGTTGGGAAAGCATATTTTATATGAATAAATTTGACTTTGACACGCTAAAACTACTTAGTTTATTTTTGCGTTATGTCCACGAGTCCTCATTCAGTTCACTTATTGTGTGTCCTGTTTGAGTTTGCTCAATAAGCATGAGCAAATGGGTCATGGTTTCATAGTGTCGTATTACAATTAGTTATTGTTTCACATCACTTCTCAGAGTTCAAAATTAAGGGTTTACCAAATCAGTAGTGTAGTCCTAAAAAAAAAAAGGTGGTGTACTATTACCCATCCAACCCAAATATTAAAAGTGGGCAAAGAAATGACCAAAGTCAATGTATCTTTGATTCATTAGCTATATATATTTATTCAACATAATTTACCTGTAACTATTGACTTCCACAGAAGAAAAAACAAATACTATTGAAGTCAATGGGTTTCTAGCTTTAACAGAATAAGAAAAGACAAACTGGTTTGGAACAATTAAAGGTTGAGTAAATGTTGGCGATTTTCACTTTTTTGAGTAAACTATCCATTAAAAAAAAAGGAAAAATATTTTAACAAATTTGTTTATTTTAAAGCGAGATGCTAAAAGTGTAATCCTGTTCAATGATTTTGCTTGGCTAATAGTGTCCCCAGCAGACCCGGAGATTTGCTTTAAAGGGGACTGAGGATAATAATTTATTGTAAATTTCATGAGGTAATTGCAAAAGTTTTAGGGGGGCTGAATAGAAATATAGGGAGCTAAAGCAATGCCCATACTGTTTTATAATTGTACCTGAATGTTTCAGCTAGACATCATTCAGATGACTTGTCGACATCTTCGAAAAAACTGAATTCTGATTTTTTTTGTACAGCTGCTGCGGTCGTCAGGGGGTGAAGAATTTAAAAGAAAATTCGCAATTTAAACAAAAATGCACAAATTGCGACAAATTAAGGTGCGAGCTAAAAACATTAGGTACACAGTTAAAGAGGATGCAAATACATATAAATTAGGGAAGCGGCTTCCGGGTCCAAGCGCTCTATTCAACCGAATGGGGAGACTCGTGTAATTGTAATAATAAACGTTTACAAAGCGATTTAAAGCTTTCGAAAATCACGATCGCAATATATATGTTAATGCCTTATATCCGATGGCCAGTAAGTGATTCATTTTTTATAAATTGTTAAATTTTTGGTATTCGTTATGCAGCAAGCCCAGAGATTGTTGTGTACACTATGATTTTATATAAAATTAACTTTAATGTGTGATAGGAATAAAACGTGATCATAAACGAATGATTTCTCCACTCAAATGAATGGCGGCTTGGACCCGGAAACAGTATACATACGTCACAAACACGTCACCACTTAACAAGCGGATAACTCCAAGGTGAAGAAATGTTTATATGTTGCTTTAATTTTAATAAGTTGATCAGGTTTCAAGTAATAAAGTTATGAACAGTTTAATATTTTTTTGTCAGTTTGACTAAAGTTAAGTTGACTAGAAACGTTCATTTGATTCAACTCAAAAATGTAAAAAAGCAAGAAACTTTTTACAGTGTGTAGGACTTCTGGCCGTATTTTGCGAGAAGATAGGTCATACACATATGGTTGTTTGACACTGTATTTGCTGCACCTAACAAGTCAGTACAGTTTGATTATTGATATCCATGTAAACATTGACATGAATGAAGAAAACAAAGTAAAAGCCATAATATTTTGAATTGTGTAACATTCCAGCAAGTCAGGCAGGCAGGAGAGTAGTGTAAAATGCTGGTGTAGTTTCTAGTACAAATAACTGAAGCAGCTTCAGCTGGTATACAACTGTATAGAAGAGCACGTCGCAACTTACTTTCTCCATCTTGTCCAGCCATTCCTTGTTCTGAGCGAGCTCAGCCATGAAGGTCTGATGCTTCTGCCACTTCTTATGAAGCTTCTGCGTCTCGTCGCGGGACGTGTCGCGAGCCATTAGCATCTTCTCTGCCACCCAATCACCAATCTGAGAATCACACAAACAAACACATGTTAGGAATCACACTCATAACTCATTCATTTTCCTTCAGCTTAGTCCCTTATTTATCCCCCACAGTGGAATGCAACTATTCCAGCATATGTTTTACACAACGAATGCCCTTCTAGCTGCAACCCAGTACTGGGAAACAACCATACACTCTTACATTCACACACACACACACACACACACGCATACACTACGGCCAATTTTGTTTACCGAATTCACCTACAGCGCATGTGTTTGGACTGTAGGGGAAACCGGAGCACCTGGAGAACACCCACGCCAACATGGAGAGAACATGCAAACTCCACATAGAAATGCCAACTGGCCCAACCAGGACTCAAACCAGCAACCTTCTTGCTGTGAGGCGGCAGTGCTAACCACTGAGCCACCGTGCCACCCCTATTTATAACTCAATGACAAAAAACTGGATTTACTAAAAACTAAAAAACTAAAATAACTAAAATAACTAAAAGTCAATCGATTAAAAAATCTGAAAATGAATAAAAACTAATTTAAAAACGCACAACCAAGCTACTAAAATATTTAGTAAAATTAAAATATAAAAATAAAAACCAAATTAAAACTCATTCGTTCATTCATTTTCCTTCGGCTTAGTCTCTATTTCAGAGGTCGCACAGTGGAATGAACCACCAACTATTCCAGCATATGTTTTATGCAATTCTAGTTTATTCAATTCACCTTTAGTGCATCTGTGGGGGAAACCGAGCACCCGGAGGAAGCCCACACTAATGTGGAGAGAACATGCAAACTCCACATAAAAATGCCAACTGACCCAGCCGAGACTCGAACCAGCGATCTTCTTACTGTGAGGTGACAGTGCTAACCACTGAGCAATAATGTTCTGCAATTAAAACTATTATTGTAAATGAAAACAATTAAAATACTACTACTACTAATAAATATTATTATGATAGCCATATAAATCAAAACATACACTAAAAAAAAATATTCAGAGATGATTCATTGGATTTAATCCTTTTTTACGTTAAGTGTTAAGCTGTAAACAATTTATTTGAGCTGAATTTAAACAGACAAATTAAGAATTTTATTAAATTTAATTTGTTTGTTTAAATTTAACACAAATAAATAGTTTGCAACAGTTTTGCAGAGATAAATTTTTTTCAGTGTACACTCAAACACAACTATACACTTTATTGTTTGTTCAACTACTTATTTAAAATGAGCTGAAACAACAAAACTCTTGAGATGTTTGTTGGAGCAACTTAATTGTTTTATGTTCAATCCACTTAAATTTGTAAATACTAATAAGTTAACTTGGTGCGAGGCAGTGGTGCAGTAGGTAGTGCTGTTGCCTCACAGCAAGAAGGTCGCTGGTTTGAACCTCGGCTCAGTTGGCGTTTCCGTGTGGAGTTTGCATGTTCTCCCTGCCTTCGTGTGGGTTTCCTCCGGGTGCTCCGGTTTCCCCCACAGTCCAAAGACATGCGGTACAGGTGAACTGGGTAGGCTAAACTGTAAATAGTGTATGAGTGTGTGTGAATGTGTGTGTGTGGATGTTTCCCAGAGATGGGTTGCGGCTGGAAAGGCATCCGCTGCGTAAAAACTTGCTGGATAAGTTGGCGGTTCATTCCGCTGTGGCGACCCCGGATTAATAAAGGGACTCAGCCGACAAGAAAATGAATGAATGAATAATAAGTTAACTTAATTACTTCATGTTGTCCCAACACAAATTGACTGTGTGAAACCCAGCAGCTTCCACAGTCACAGCATACAAAAGTACAATGGAGTAAACTATTAACTATTAAAACAGCACCAAAAATATACACCACATTAAAATAAACAACACTTAATGTTTCATGTTATTTATAAACTATTGATCTCGTATCATATTTACCACCTGAATCAAGCAGTGCAGAATCAGTCAGTTCTTCCTAAATCCACATTGTTCATTGTACAGTCCACAAACACACACCGCTGGATGAAAGATCCAGGACATGTGCGGAGAGAACTCAGCGCGCTATTTTTGGACCAAACTAAATCCTCAAATGACTGTATAACAAATCCAGCGAGAGCAAGAAGTGGCTTGCATCTTGACCAAAACACAAAACGGCAGAAAAGCGGTGAAGTGTTGAGCCCGTGCAGACTGACGGAGAAGAGAGAAATGAGCCCAGCAGCGCTGATTATTATTGATGTTACAAACGCTAGAGAGAGAGAGAAAGTGGGCGAGAGACATAGAGAGATAAAAAGAGAGTGGGCGTTGAGAGGGAGCGTTTTTTTTTTTTTTTTTACCCCCTCTGCCCTCCTCCTGGAGATCCAGACTCTCTTCAGCCCGTTTGTGCAGCGTCTTTCCTCCAAAACAAATCCATATTGTCTCGTTTGGGTCCCGCGCCACCCTCTCTTCTCTCCTCCTCCTGTTTTGTATTGTAAGCTTGACTCAATACTGCGACGCCTGAGCGGAAAGAGACGCTTCTAACACTGCAGCATCAATGATGAGGGAGAAGAGCATGAGGGAGGAGGAGAGAAACATACAGAGAACACAGAGAGAGAGGAGTGAGAGACACCGAGTGAGAGAGAAGAGAGAGAGAGAGTAAGAGAAAGAGAGAGATGCTGAGGGAAAAGGGCAGTGTTGCCAGATATTGTTGACTTTTTCCAACCCCAAACCCACCTAAACATTACAAACAAATGCCCAAAATATTAAATTGTTACTCTATTTAATTTAAATTTATTTAAAAATTATTTTAAATAATATTCATCAAAATTTACCTAGTTATTTTAACTGCTATCATTTTTAATAATACAGCAACCAACACAAGCAGTCACAGAACCACAACACTGCCCTCTCATCCACATATTGCGCTAGTTGTTGTTTAGATTGCACTACTTAATAGAGTATGTTTTACTTTCAAAATGGGGTATAAATCATCCTATTTGCCGTTTTAAAAGCTTTTGATTATAATTAGGTGCTGCTTGTCAATCAGACAACGCTTCTATGTTTGTTCTTTCTGAAAAAATAATCAATAAAGTGTCATGATAAACCACTATAAGTTTAAGGCGCTGTGTGATGCGTGTTCATGCGAAGGGGAGTCAGATTTGTACGGGGAAGCCAGATTATGATACAACTTTCCTTCACCTCCTCTTGCGGGTCGGCCCATACGGTTTGCGCTATGCACTGGTCACATCTAACTGAATGGAGTAGGAACACAAGGTTCTATTTTGTTGAATAAGTTGTATATAAAAGTTACCTTTCAAAACTGCACAAATTTTGTCAACCCGCCAATGCCATCCTTTACCCGCACAATCAAATTCAAAACTACCTGAGTGGGGGGAAAACTGCCCAATCTGGCAACACTGGAAAAGAGTTAGTTATATAATTTATTATATTATATTTAATATTATATATACAGTTGATTATTAGCTGTATTATTAATATTATTAAAATGAATAGATATAAAATTTCTAATATTTCCCAAATGATGTTTAAGAGAGCAATGATTTTTTTCTCAGTATTCCTATAATATTTTTTCTTCTGCAGAAAGTCTTATTTGTTTTATTTCAGCTAGATTCAAATAATTTATATATTTTTTAAATATAATTTTAGGGTTAATATTATTAGCCTCAAGCTATTTTTTTCTGATTGTCCAGGACATCATTATACAATGAGTTGCCTAATTAACCTAGTTAAGCCTTTAAATGTCACTTTGAGCTGTGAAGAAGTGCCTTAAAAATATCTAGTAAAATATTATGAAATATCATCATGGCAAAGATTAAAATAAATCAGTTATTAGAGATGAGTTATTAAAACTATTATGTTTAGAAATGTGTTGAAAAAACAGAAATTAAAAAACTAGAAATACAAATCACCAACACTGCATGTTTTGGATTCATGTGATAAAGTGATAATTAGTATTGAATTATAAATATATTTTATGCTTATGAAATACCAAAGCTGGCTTGAAGCAGAGATCCGCACGGGACTAATTTTTTAATCCCACTCCATCAGGTTTTAGTCCGACCCCAACCGCTCCCGCTTATATTCAGCATTTGTTTTGCCACTGTCCGACCCAATCTATTTTCTACCTGCCAGACAGCCTATAACAAGCTGTCTGTATAAACACACACACACATAGACACACAGCACCAAGCAAGCGTCACACAGCATCACGCTCTCTCATTCACACACATGCACACACACATAGATAGCAACAAGCAAGCGTCACACAGCATCACGCTCTCTCATTCACACACACACATACGCATGCTCGCTCGCTCTGGAGTCGGGAGCAATATTGTTAGACCGCCCACTCCCTTTCAAACTACACCAGTTACAGACCGCTTCAGCTCTTTATTCAAAAATGTATTCCCGCGCTGCAAGAAATCTGGTCGGGTCCCGCAGATCTTGTGGTACAGCCGCGGGAATGCAGACCTCTAGCTTGAAGAACACAATTTAATAAAGGGACTAAACCGAAAAGAAAATGAATGAATGAATGAATAAATTGCATTCACATTGCATTTGTTTATTGTCTTCATGTTTGATGCATTAGTACATTTCTATCATCTTTATGCTTTGTTGCTGCCTCCCACTTCGCATACTATCCATCCTAAATAGTATCTGAATATAGAATTAATAGCTGCGTCCCAAATGGCACACTATACACTATGCACTCATGCACTGTGTACTTATGCACTTACACACTCAACAGCATAGTATATGTATGTAGTGGCGTCCCAAATGGCACACTAAGCTTTTTACTAAGCGGAAATTCAAACCGTTTCCCTGATGACGTTTGACGGTTGCCAAATCAGTGAAATAAACGACCGAATTATCAAATAATACCTGCCGTGAGTATAAGCGCATTCACCATCGGGAGGTGCTATAATCACTCTCATAGGAGAATTTTGCTTTCACCATCCAAAATAAATAAAGTTATCCAACTTGTGTGTCAGATAGCTCCGCCCCTTCCGCTACGTGAGCAAACCTGTGGTCGTTGAGTGCGTGAAGTGTCCATCATTCCACACTTCATTTTAGCGGCTGAATGAGTGCATCATCCTGGTAAATAAAGTGCACTTATTATTTTTAGAGTTTCAGTGTGAACACACTACTTACACTATTTATACTACGAAATGGTGTAGAATAGTGCATAAGTATGCGATTTGGGATGCAGCTAATATGTCCCAATTTGTAGTATGTTGACAAGAGTATGCTAAAGGTTCCCGGATGCTCTACTGTCTTAGGTAAAAAAAAAAAAATTGAAGTGGAGAACCATCCATATCGCTGATATTGCTCTCAATACATTGCACGTTAGGCGTGAATTCAGTTAGAACTACAAACTCGGTTAAAAAGTGTATATAAACTACAAAGATGGCGGACGCGTGAGACCAAAAGTCAAGTAGAGAGGCTTCGGTAAAGATGTTTGAATAATTATTAATTAATTTCTGCGTCCCAATTTGCATACTATCCATCCTAAATAGTATTTGAAAATAGAATTAATATGTCCCAAATTGTAGTATGTCGAAAAGAGTATGCTAAAGGCTCCCGGAGGGTCTACAATTTCCGGGATAAAAATCTAAGCGTAGAACCGTCCATACTCAAACCACTCATATTGCCCTCAATACATTGCATGTTAGGTGTGAATTCAGCTAGAACTACAAACTCGGCTAAAAAGTGTATATAAACTACAAAGATGGCGGGCGCGTGAGACCAAAAGTCAAGTAGAGAGGCTGAGGTAAAGATGTTTGAATGACTATTAATTAATATCTAGCCCACTGGAGAATATTTTAATTGCGTTTTCTGTGTTATATTTCATCTGCAACAACAATATGAACTTATATCAAGTTATATTTAGACATTAACTTCTGAATGCAGAATTATCCAAAGACCTGAGAAGATTTCCCTACGTGAAAGACTTGTGAATGGGAGATTAACCTGCTGCTGCTTCTCCAATAGGGTAGGTGATTATATATATGAAAGAAATATGGATGATGTGTCGAGATGATTGACAGGGGACGTAACTAAGCAACATAACGATCTGTAAACGAGGAAGTAGTATGTCCCAAAGCTTGCATACTCTTCTGTTACACACTCAAAAGTACATACTTTTCCTTCACCAAAAAAGTACTTTTAGGCTGTAGTATAAATATGTGAATTGGGACACAGCACTGCAGTGATAGCTGACCGTGGCTGATGTCTTCTTCACCAATCTATATGTGGAGATTATGTGCGATGGCGCCCTCTAGCTTACATTATGAATGAAATCGAAATAACATTACAATGTATTCTCGAGGTCTGTCCTGCAAAGTTTACTTCTAACCTGCTTCTGCACAGCTGCTTGGGTATTTTATATGACAGAAAAGCTTGAAAAGCTAAATATGGTTGAGCTCTGCAGGATAGTGGACAAATGTGAAACTAAAAAGGCCTTCAACCCTTATGAATTATCGTCAATAATACTGTGATCGTAATAAATACCAGAAAATAAAGTGATATAGGTCATTTCGCCCATTCCTAGTCACTACATGTGTTTAAAAACTCGTGAAAAGCAGAGAACCATCCTCAGACCAGTAAATAAACACACAATCACACACACACACACACACACACACACACACACACACACACACACACACACACACACACACACACACACCACTAAAGTTCTCTCACTCTCTCTGAATAAGTGATGAGGCGTCCTGCTAAATTATTGAATCTGAGAAGGGAAGAACAAGCCATGGCTAAATAAATCTGCAGGTTTGGGCCACACTACTGTACTGAACTGATTTCAAATACCATTTACCCACAATGCTTTGCTAATCACTCCAAGTCACACGAAATATGTCATACTTAGAGCAAAGCATGACTAAGTAAAATGTTACATGTTGTTAGAGATTGCTTGATTTTTACTCAGTATTTTAATGTTGTGCTGTATTTGTATTTGCATATTTTATCCTGAAATAAATATAATAATTCAATAATTATTTATTTAATGTTGTGCTGTATTTGTATTTGCATATTTTATCCTGAAATAAATATAATAATTTAATTTAATAATTATTTATTTAATTTGATGTAAACAATATACATCATATTGTTTTTCTTTTTATTTTATTATATTCATTCTATTTTTATTAAGCTATACGATTTTTATTTATTTACTATTTTTCATGTCATACATTTTTCTTATTATTGTATTAATATGAATTTTAATTCATTTTGCTATATTTTTATTAAGTAATATGCATTTTAAATAAATTTTTAAATATATTTTTGTAATATTAGTTTTTATTTTTAATTAACTATATGATTTTTTAAATTATGTATGAATTTTTATATTATTATTTGTTTCTAATTATTTCATTAATATTATTTTTTTATTTTATTAAGCTATATGATTGTTTATTTTAATTATTTGCTCATTTTATGTTATATTTTTATTATGTAATTATTCATTTTTATTTTATTTATATTTATTATATTTATATTCATTTTTATTTTTGCCATATTTTTTATGTATTAAGTTTTAGATTATTATTTATTTATTATTATTTTGTTATTATTTATTCTTAATTTGATTATGCTATATGATTTTTTATTTTAATTATTCATACTTTACACTTAATTATTATTTAAGTTTATATTATTTTTAATGATTTTATTAAGATTCATTTTTTATTTTATTAAGCTATTTGATTTTTTTTATTTGAATAATTTATAAATTTTCATATTATTCTTTCTGTTAAAATTAACATTAATTTTTATTATATTTAGCTACTTTTTTATAACACATGCACTGCAATTGTGCAAGCCTCCATCAAAACCCCCTGAAAAGCTTCACCCATTTACCAAAACCAAAGACAAAGCATGAATGCTTTTGCAGTTTTTCTCTACCTCGTGGCAGTCCTGTAGAAACCTCTGCAGCTCCCACTGGTCATTGAGTTTATGAAGCCACTGCTGCGCGTGTTGACGGTTCTGGTTCCCTCTGTGAGCAACACACAAGTACACAACCAAATCAGACACTCTCCTACTATAAGTGCTAAAACCACACCAAGCTCTCATCAATTATTATGAACAGTGTTTTACAGCAGTCTCCGTTTATGGCAGAAGGCAGACTTATAAGCAATTCCACACACACAACTGCTCTTCAAATCCAATTTCACGCTCCTCACAGAGACTGCATTCAGATCAGTGAGCGCTGACTCTTTGTTATGGCTGTATGGAAAAACATTGTAAATTTAAGCATCTATAGGAGCAGCTGCACGATCTGTCTCACAGTGAATGGAGGCCAGACACTGATGTCAGGTGGCAGGACGTCTTACACTAGTAAAAAAATAAAAGTCCCAAAAGGGAGGTTCAGTCATGCCATAATTAAAACTTGCTGCATGAAATATTTTACCGATCTAAACAACTATTTACACTATAAAAAAGCCAGTGGTGGAAAGACTGAAAAATCATACTCAAGTAAAAGTACCATTACTTACCTAAAAATCTAGTGCAAGTAGAGTAAAAGTATCTGTTGTAAATATTAATCAGAGTATAGACCTTTCCAAAACACTCAAGAGTAGTGAGTAGTGAGTATTACGCTGTATAAAGCTGATGCATTTACATGTAATTTGTGGATGTGTGTAAACGTAACATTCTGTAGTGCATTTAGTCATTGCCCAGCAGGCACACAACATCATAAGACGTTAATATTAGGTTAGATTTAGTTTGTGATGTCAGGTGACCAAAATTCAATGACAAGCCAGCGTCTAAGGACAACGTTATTTTGATATCCAATAATGACGTCAATTGACATTGATATTTGGTTGATTTTAGGTTGTGTTAGAAAGTGAACAGAATCCAACATCGAGCCAACATCTTAAACTAGGGTCATATTGACATCACATACTGACATTTATTCGTCAGGTATAGCAGCCAAAATCCAACATCTGATAGACATCATAATGGTAATGTCCACGAAACGTCAAGCTGTATGATATTTGGTTGGTTTTAGGTTGGACATTGGACATTAACGTCAGCCTGACGTTGGGTTCTGACGTCAACCCGATTTTCATTTCCAGACAAAAATGCAATGTCCCCATGACGTTGGGGTACAACGTCAATCTGTATTTACAACTGCGACACTATATCACAAATCATAAACAATGGGATATAATTAAAAGATCTCCAACAAATATAAAACAATATTTTATAGATATTATTGAACATGGTCTGCCTACTAAAAATCATGTAGCCCAATTATATAGAAAATAAATGCTGCATAAATCTGACGACTCTTATTATGTTAAAAGAAATTGGGAATTAGAGGTAAACACTATAATAGAGGATAAAATGTGGGAACATATAGGCACAAATTGTCATAAGGGTATAAGCCAGGGGTGTCCAAACTCGGTCCTGGAGGGCCGGTGTCCTGCAGATTTTTACTCCAACTTGCCTCAACACACCAGCAAGGATGTTTCTAGAAAGCCTAGTAAAAGCTTGATTAGCTAGCCCAGGTGTGCCTGATTGGGGTTAAAACTAAACTTTGCAGGACTCCGGCCCTCCAGGACCGAGTTTGATGGCTGAAAACCAACCTGGAAATGGCCAAAACCCCTCTAAAACCAGCCTGGTCGACCAGTTAAACCAGCAATCCAGCCTAGGCTAGTTTAAGCTGTTTTTTTAGTAGAGCAAGTTTTCAGTGTCTGAGTGCGCTGGAAGACTTTTTGAGACAGCACTTAAAATGGACTACTGACTTCTGAACGATGCTAATTAAGACGCACACATTGATTATTAATTAAAATGCATGATTTATCAATTTACCAAGGTGTGTTTAATGTGTTTGAAATGATGTCACGTTTAATGGTTAGACCGAACAATGGCCGCTGTGTTATAAATATGTTGATGAGGCTGTTATATCTGACCTGTTGGCAAGCAGGTCGACTCTCTCTCTGATGCGCTCCGAGTAGATGTTGTTCTGGCTGATCAGACTCTCTCCCGCCTCGATCACAGCTTTAATACGGTGCAGGTTCAGCTCCATGGTGGTGGTGAAGTCCTTGTGCTTTTTGATGGCCGCCTCCACCGTCTCCACTGTACTGGGAAGCTCCACATGAGCCAGCGCTGATTCCTGACCGGACAAAAGAGGAACATGGTTAGCCGCCCAGTGATTTTGTTTTCTTTTTTAATATATCCCAAATTATGTTTAATGGTGTTTATATATATATATATATATATATATATATATATATATATATATATATATATATATATATATATATATATATATATATATATATTAGGGGTGTCAAAATTAATCGTTTCTTCGGTGCAGACGCGGACAATTTGGTATCGGTTCTGTAATAATCATAACCGGTTATTATACTGACGTCATTTACCTCATATGCGATCTGTCACGAGGGAGGCGATCGCGAGTATTTACAACGCTTTAACTACTTAAAACTCATAAACTGTGCACAATTTCACTGTGTGTGTTTGCTGGATCAGTCTTTCTCTGACATATACAACAATAGCCCTATTTCACTGAGATTGAGAGAATGAAAGTAGCCTATTCCATTTCTCTCTCTCTCTCTCTCTCTCTCTCGCTCTGTCTCTCTCTCTCTTTCTCACACACACACACAGTGGCCCATTTGACCTGCTGGGGTGGCTTTTCTTCTCCTCTCGGCTGTTTTACAGCGTTACTTTTGGATCCAGAAACGAGCACGAGTCTGCAGAGTTTTCTCCACCGTGTCTATCATGCATCAGTTGTGAGATCGCCGCTGCCGCCTGCCGCTTATCAGTGTCACTTATCTGAAGAGCGCAGCGCGCAAGAGCCAATCGCAACCGTTTTTGTTGAGGGTGTGACCAATCATAGAGGTGTAAGAGAACTGGGGCCTGTTTCAGTAAGGAGGTTCAAACAACTCAGAGTATAAACTTGAACTCTAAGTTGATTTACCGAGAGATTAAAAACTCTGAGTTTTCGGTTTCAGAACAGCTGATCTGAGTTGGGTCAATCAACTTCGAGTAGACCAACTCAGAGTTAAGCGCGCACACCGTGACTACAAAAAGGCATTATCAATGGAGCGCAGACATTACGAGTGACTATGACAACATCTTATAAAAGAGATCACCATTTCTTTCTCCAGCTGAACTTGATGTTCTCATTCAAAGTTATAGCAAATATGAGTGTATATATTTGAAAAGAAGCAGCCATCAACCAGTTAGCGTGGGAAAACAGCTGCTCAAGATAATGCCTAATTTAACTTTTTAAGTATTTAAATATTTAAGTATAATAAAATAAGTAATGTAATTTGTAAAGTTTATATATATTTTTCTAAACTTTCTTTTATACATTTATAATTTTAATAGATTTAACAGTGCACTTGTGTGTCTGCCTTTTTATTGATCAAGTGATAGAGGTTAATATAACATTTAGAAGGTAAGCAGTACTAAAAATAATTTTTAGAAAGAATAATAATCCCATTAATCTAGTTACAGTGCATATCGAAGGTGAATTCAATTTAATTATTTATTAAAAAAGCATAAGCCATTCTAGTACAGTTCTTCTGTGTGTGACTAAATGTAGGCAATAGCTATGTTTCAATCCAAATATATTACATAAATGTATGTGCAAAACTGGAATATTGCATAAAAGATGCGAATAAAATTCCATCCAACGAGTTAAAGAGAAAAAAATTGTCACTTCCTGATTTAACTGGCACCAAATATCAACAGTAAAAACAGAATTTACTGTGGTAGAAGAAGCTGCGTCAATTAATTCTTTATTTAGCCTAATTAATGTACTTGCGCCTCGATGTCAGAAGACAATGCTGAAACACAATGAACACGTGGGGGCGTCTGAAGCCATGAGACGCGGAGACTCTTGACACGCACCAGACGTTCGGGGGTAATTAATAATATACACTAATACTGAAACAGTTAAGGCATTTTAGAATGACTAAAACAACATTTAAGACGTGTTACAGTGTGCTGAGCCTCCATTTACACACATTTTCATTATCATATGATCATGATCTTTTTTTTAATGTACATACTGTAATTTGTTCAGTAAAAGTGTTTCCATCGTAGTTTATGCGCACATTTTCTATCGAATAAAAGTTTATCCTACTCAGTTATGCGCGTTTTTTATGCATATTTTAAAAAGTTATGTGCATCATGACGTTTCTATCAATCGTTTTTATGCACGTATCCAAAATGAGCATTAAAATAGGTGGGTGGAAACGTAAGGCTAAGGCGAGAAATACCGCTTCATCTTTAAAAAAGGGGAGGAGACCTACAGAAACTCTGAGTTTAGAGAATAAAACCTGCTTCTGACCAGGTTAGATTCACAGAGTAAGTTACCACAGTAACTGACTCTGAGTTAAAGTTACCTCTCTTTCAGAAACAGGCTTGACTTACCCTGCTTTCTCGAGTTTAACAAACCTGCCATTTTGAAACGGAAAACCCAGAGTTTCTCTCATTTCAGGGTTAAAATACTCTGAGTTTTCACTTAACCTCCTTTCTGAAACAGGCCCCTAGACAAGGATCAGAAATTGAGCTGGATGTTTATATTTGTTTATATTTTTTGCTTAATGCTGGTTTTGTTTAAAGTTACAGTTTATATATCTGACTGTTTGTATTAAACGACAAAATTGTTTTACAAATAGTATATAAATATAAATATATTCATACATTTTAATACAAGAACTGCTGCTGTGAAGAAAATATAAAACTGTGTATGGAAAGCATCGTCAATGCACCGTGATGCACCGAGATATCGAATTGAACCGAATCGATGGCATGATAATCGTAACCGAACCGAACCGTGAGACTAGTGTAGGTTCACAGCTCTATATATATATATATAGGCTAAACACAATAATCAACTGCTATTACAATGTTCAATGCAGAAAGGTGAAGCTCAGATTTAAAAACAGACCGATGAATGTAAACTAGCCTAATAAACGTCAATGCCATGTGCATTTAGTGCAAATCAGTTCTGGCTCGATGACAAGTTTTAGAGTGCGGATTTGGAGGGCTCTTTCTCTGCGCCCGCAGGCTACAGACAGCGAATCTGAGCTTTAACAAACCAGAAAAGACACAGCATTCAACATACACCCAGACGGGCCTGAGGAAGTGCATGTCCTCTGACATTTAAACTGCATTTAGGATATTTTTATGAAGTGATGACCCAAACATAAAAGCAGCAAATGTCTCTGAAGAAGTACTGAGCGATGCCCCTTAAACCGTCCCGATGCCTCTGACATTTACAGACGTGACCCTGAGAAAACCGTTCTGATCACTCCTTCATAATCGTCTGCTCACTTTAACCCATAGAAAGGAAATGGCACACATGAAGCCTATTGAGCATCCCAGTAATTTCTCCTAGACAGGAATGAGATCTTAAAAGGAGCAAATTGCGACCTATTTAAAAATTCCCTTTTTTCAAGATCATCCTTGTAATCAAACTACGCAACTACCATAAAAATGTATAAATTATGTGTTACACCGTATCATCAGCAGTGGTTCTCAGAGTGGGGGTTGTCAATGAGACAATGAGAGGGGGTGTCACTTTAAGTCAAAATCAAATCAAATTAACTTTCAATAAACTATAAACTATTAGAATCACCACATATATCCATAACCTACAGAAGTAAAAATAGTTGTTTACAGTGCAGACATGCAAATGAAAAGCCATCAGCCTTTCGATTGTTTGTGACCCCTGATGTGATTATGTTATATTAACATAGATTTTATGTTTGTTTATTTTAATGTTTATCCATTAAATAAAAAAACCACAATACCCCGAAAAAACACCGAAGAACTCTTTGAAGAAAATAAGCTTTAGACTAAAGCAAAAAAAAAAAAAAATAGTTTGCAGTTAAATATAATAAGTATTTCTTATAGCAAAAGAAAAAAAATCAATATATTTTGGACAGAATTCAGTGTAAAATGTAAGACATTATTTATAAAGATAGACAGGCCTACATTATGATTTTTAGAGTGAATCAACATGAATGACAGTTGATGTTTACAATACTACATGCTGAAAAATGTGAGTTTGCATCAGGATGATGATACATGGGTCATTTTTTTTAGGAATTATATTGCAGGGTGTTATGCTGTTTGGCTACTTTCAGAAATTTGGCAACAAACATTTTACATAAAAATTTGAAAGACAAGTTATTTTATATTAATGTATCAATAGGATGAGGTCTAGTTACCTACCTATTCTCACTCACTATCCTTTGGTTTAGTCAGTGGACCACAGTGGAATGAACCGCCATATATTCCAGCATATGTTTTACACAATGAATACGCTTCCAGCTGCAACCCAGTACAGGGAAACACCCATACACACACACACTTATACACTACTGCCAATTTAGCTACCTATTATTTACCTATACCGCATGTCATTGGGACTGTGGTTGAAATGGGTACTTTTTAATTTTTAACTTTTGTACATTTTTAAGGCCGTGCTTCTTTACTTTTACTTGAGTAAACAATCGTAGTCAGTACTTCTACTTGTACCAGAGTCATTTTAATCATGAGTATCTGTACTTCTACTTAAGTAAAGGATTTGTGTACTTTTGCCATCTCTGGTAGGCATGGGACGATACGTGGTTTCAATGCTTGCAGGCAGTTTGAAAATATTTTATATTAGAGTATTTTATTTAGATTTTTAAGTAGAGCTGTGAACCTACACTAGTCTCACGGTTCGGTTCGGTTACGATTATCATGCCATCGATTCGGTTCAATTCGGTATCTTGGTGCATCACGGTGCATTGACGATGCTTTTCATACACAGTTTTAGATTTTCTTCAAAGCAGCAGTTCTTGTATTAAAATGTATGAATATATTTATATACGATTTGTAATACAATTTTGTCATTTAATACCAACAGCCAGATGTATAAACTGTACCTTTAAACAACACGAGTGCAAATAATATAAACAAATATAATTATCCCTCTTGCTTTCTGATCCTTGTCTAGTTCTCTTACACCCCTTTGATTGATCACACTCTCAACAAAAACGGTTGCGATTGGCTCTTGCGCGCTGCGCTCTTCACAGATTAGTGACACTGATAAGCGGCAGCGGCGATCACAGCTGATCAATAACAGACACGGTGGAGAAAACTCTGCAGGCTCGCGTTCGAGTCTGTATTCATAAGTATCGCTGTAAAACAGCCGGGAGGAGAAGAAAAGTCACGCCAGCAGGTCAAATGGGCCTCAGTGTGTTTGTGTGTGTGTGTGTGTGTGAGAGAGAAATGGAGTACTTTCATTCTCTCAATCGCAGTGAAATAGGGGCTTCTGCAGTAAATATCAACGAAAGACTGATCCAGCAAACACACACAGTGAAATTGTGCACAGTTTATGAGTTTTAAGTAGTTGGAGTGTTGTAAATACTTGCGCTCGCCTCCCTCGCGACAGAGCGCATATGAGGTAAATGACGTCAGTACATAATAACTGGTTATGATTATTACTGAACCGATACCGAATTGTCTGCATCGCGTTGCACCGAAGAAACAATTAACTTTGACACTCCTATTTTTAAGACAGTATCTCCAGCAGAAAATGATCATCTACATCAAAAGCGTCCTGTCAGCACATAATTTGAAAAACAAATGGCTTATAAATCAACATCCAAGGTTATTATACCATCAGAATCATATACTGGCACATGCCTAGAATTTAGGTGTGGAAACTATAGTATAAGCAGAATAACCTTAATAAATAACGCACACTAAGGTCTAACCTCTACTTGGCATCATGGCCGTGCATTATTTTTCAAGTAATCCAACAGCTCAATAATTCCTTACATAAAGAGCATTGAGGAGCTTTACCTGGTTGTTGAGGAAAGCCTCAGCCTGCTTGACGTCCCTCAGAAACAGATGGAAGATGTGCGCCTGCACCAGCACCTCCCGGCGACTCTCCCACATCTCCAGCAGTTTATTCCAGCCCACATCCAGCTTGTGGAGCCACTGCTGCAGAGCTCCGTGAGGCAGCGGCGCCTCCTCAGTCTCCAGCAGCTCATTCACCGCCTGCAGCCGCTCGTAATCCTCCTCGTAGCGTCCGATCTCCTCCTTCAGCGCCGCATGCTGGTTTATCAGCCGTTCGGCGTCCTCTAAAGCATTGGGAAGCTCGTCTGAAGCAGCGGAGGTCTGAGTTTGAACCAGCCAGGTGAGGAAAGAATCCAGATCTTGGATGAACTGTTGCAACCTGCCGGCGACGGTTAAAGAGTCTTCGCAGCCTTGCAAAGTGCGCTTTAGTTCCTCCCACTCCACGCTGATGCCTTCGAAAGGAACTAGAATCTCCACGGCCTTCTCTGGATGGGACGTTGCGAGCTCTTCTGCTTCTTCCTGAAGGTGGAGGAGTTTGGGTTCGAGGACGGCTAGAGCTCCTTCCATGGTGGAGAGACGCCGCTGCAGCGCCAAAACGCTGCCCAGGTCACTGCCCACGTACTGTGTGGCATCGATGGCTTTCCTTTTGTCCTGAATCTGGGACTTGATTTCGGTGCACTCCAATAAGTAGTTCTGGATGCGCAGGATGGAGTCCAGGTGATCTTTCTTCTGCTCCACCAGCTCCACGATGCTGTTCCACCTGTGAACATGTGTAGAAATAAAACAGCTTAACCTCTTTTTTTTTGTTAGTTTTGATTTTAGGCATTGAATTTAGGCCCAATCTAAATTCTTTCCCTTAGCTCTACCCCTTGTTCCAATTCTCTTTAGCTTGAAAGCGTAGGGCTCAAGGCTAGTTTATACTTCTGCGTCAAGTGAGAGAGAGAGAGAGTTTAAATTTTATTGCCATTTCAGCTTCTATGGCTATGCCATGGCAAAAAGAAAATAGATCAAGTTTATCACGTTTTATAAACACCAATTTTCTATAATTATAAAAATATTCGGTAACACTTTAAAATAACTATTCGTTATAACTAGTTAATAGACCATTAATAAACTGTTTGTTAACAAGTTATAAATGACTTGTTAAATAAAAGTTAATAGTTTGTTAATTATTTATAACTGTGCCTTATAGACCTTTTTCATGGCTGCTGCATGGTGGGCGCCATAGCGACCAGCATCTTCCGGTAGAATGCTTAAAACATCTGTTTACAGCGTGTACAACTGGTAATTTGCGCTCTAAAAATGGGTTTGAATACCGTTTTTAATGGATAACAGAGTGTTTTTGTGACACACAACTTAGACATGTGTCTGTTAAAGCCGTTATAATCCGTCACATGTGGTTCAAGCGCGCAGAAATACGAGAAAAACGTTCTCCTAGTTCACGTGTCTGCTGTCAGAAATACAGTGTGTGTGTGTTCCCGGCCTGTCAGCTGTTAGCTTAGCGGCTCTTTAACACAGAGAGAGAGAGAGAGAGAGATTATTATTATTATATTTATCAAATGTATTGTTTTTGTGTGTGTGTGTCATTATATCTTATCTGTATTACTATTAATTATTATTTTCAATGGTTTTAATATGTTTCATATTTGAAGTGCTTTGGCAATACTGTACTTAATGTCATGCCAATAAAGCAACTTGAACTTGAACTTGAACTTGAGAGAGAGAGAGAGAGAGAGAGAGAGAGAGAGAGCAAACCATGGCATGAAACCAACTGGCATGAAACTTAACAGGTATGAAAGTCGTGCAATTTACAAAAATGACCAATAAAAGTCTGTTATTGATCCTCTGCTGGCTGATTTGCTGTTCATTCTAATCGCGAGCCGTTTGTGTTTCATTTCGTGTGTTGTTTTTACCACGGTTTGTGTTTTTCTGTCATTTTGAAATGACACTCGCCTATATTTTCACTTTGTCACAGTTATTAAATCAGTGTGTCAGTGGCACAGTACAGGCTACGTGTGTGTGTCAAACATTTTGGTGAACTACATTTGTTTGGGCTGGTTATATATTTGTAATAAAGAGAAAATGTTGACTTTAGCGATGACGAGGCTTCATTTAAACTGCAGAAGATGCCGTCTGACAACGAGGGGAAAATGCCTCACAGCAGCTGTTTTCCATCCTATTAGATCGCATTTCTTTAAATGATCAGTCCAGGAGATGCTGCTGATGGACAACAGTATTAGTTTAAAGAGGATAAAAGCAGGTAAAATAGATTAAAACTATCGTTTCGAAGCTGTCCAAATGTGACTGTTTACACGCATCAGCTGCCGACCGGAAGTTCTTCGCATTCTCCTTGCGCATACACGCAAAGCATAATGGGTAATTTTGAGTTCCAAGAAAAGGTCTATAGATGGCTAATAGATAACTTACAAGCCGTTAGTTAACAAGTTGTAAATGACTTCTTAACTGTATTTTAATGATTTATAACTATACCTAATAAATTATTATGAGATCCTGAACAAGCGGTTAGTAAATAACTTAATAAAGGCTAGTTAAGTATCAGTTAATAGTGTATATATGTTATTGGGACGTTATTCTAAAGTTGCAGCTATTCTTCATTTATTAACTGTTAGTAAATGAGGAATAGTTGCAACTTTAGAATAACCTCCCAATAACATGCTTAAGCTAATAACTAACACTTAACTATTATTTTTACTCACACTTTACAGATCAGTATGCGTGCACTTGACGCCGAAGTATAAATCAGCCTTATGGCCTAACATACATTAATGCAGACACTACCACAGCAATGTAAATGAGGTCAATTAAATAAATAAATACATTTAGAATTTAATTAAATTCCAGAAGTGATAAAAGCAGAATGTTCTTCAGCTTTACTACTCTTTTTGATTAATAAATATTAATATAATGAACAATTTTTACGAATATTTTTAACTAAATGTTGTCAAATGTACATTCATTATAGAAACATAATTTTTAATCATTTTTTCAACACAATAATAGAGGATAAACTAATTTTAAATCTTAAATTTTCCAATTAAAAATGAGAATGCAATTGGACTTTTATTGTACACTCACCGGCCACTTTATTAGGTACATCTTACTAGTATTGGATTGGACCCCTTTTTGCTTTCAGAACTGCCTTAATACTTCGTGACATAGATTCAACAAGGTACTGGAAATATTCATCAGAGATTTTGCTCCATATTGACATGATAGCATCACACAGCTGCTGCAGATTTGTTGGCTGGAATCTCACAATCTTCCATGGAATCTCCCACCACATCCCAAAGGTGCTCTATTGGATTGAGATATGGTGACTGTGGACGCCATTAAACTACAGTGAACTCATTGTTATGTTCAAGAAAGCAGTCTGAGATGATACGAGCTTTATGACATGGTGCATTATCCTGCTGGAAGTAGCCATCAAAAGATAGGTACACTGTGGTCATGAAGGGGTAAACATGGTCAGCAACAATACTCAGGTAGGTTAAGGTGTTGACACGATGCTCAATTGGTACTAATGGGCTCAAACTGTGCCAAGAAAATATCCCCCACACCATTACACCACCACCCGCAGCCTGAAACATTAATACAAGCTAGGATGGATTCATGCATTCATGTTGTTGATGCCAAATTCTGACCCTACTATCTAAATATGACAGCAGAAATCGAGACTCATCAGACCAGGCAACGTTTCTCCAATCTTCTATTGTCCTTTTTTGGTGAGCCTGTGTGAATTGTAGCCTCAGTTTTCTGACCTTAGCTGACAGGAGTGGCACCCGGTGTGGTCTTCTGCTGCTGTAGCCCATCCGCCTCAAAGTTCAACGTGTTGACCATGTCTAAATGCCTAAATGCATTGAGTTGCTGCAATGTGTTTGGCTGATTAGAAATTTGCGTAAACGAGTAGTTAGACAGGCGTACCTAATAAAGTGGCCGGTGAGTGTATTTTCTAACAAACAATATGTCTATTAATCTATTAACTAATTCATAATAAATCTGTCCACAATATTTCGTCCAACATCCCATTAAGTCCATATTCATATGATTCAGTTTCAATCTACTCAAGGTAGAGCTTGGGTGCGGGATAATAAAAATAACTTGATTCCAGAAAACATGACTCAGTCTGAATCATTCTCAATTCATGAACACACACATACACACACGGGTGGACTGCAGCTCATGGCCCAAGACACAGTATCTCAAACCAAACACACTTTTAAATAATCAAACAGGCTTTTAAATACACAGTGGCATGAAATATTGAGGAACAGGATGTCTGTGGAAGTGTGCGGGTCAGGCGGCCCTGTGTGTGGCAGCCGCAGCAGATGGCAGCACGCGGAGACACGCTATTTATGCCAAGGTCGCTCTAAAACGGATCACTGGAGTTTTTCACACATACGTCACAGCTTGCCAGTTTCAGTGAAAGCTTGTGAAAGCAGCAGCAAACCGCTTTCTAAAGACGGACGTGTGCTAAAAATGATGAACAACAGCAGCAGCCGCATCAGGAGCAAGCAGGGTTTTCTGGATTTAACCATTATGAAAGGAAAACAACATTGGATATAAATACAAGTAAGGTTAAAAAAGACTGCATGAGATGATGAAAACAACTAAATTACATCTACTAGCAAAAAATGGGCTTAAGACAAGAATAATTGGTCGGAGATATACATATATGTTATGCTTAATGATCCATTTGTGTAAACAGAAAAAAATAATAGTGCATCTTTGCTTTGAATGCAATAGTAATTTTAACATCCTTGGTTACAGATGCATTTGCACTATTTCCATATTAAAATAAAGTCCCATGAACAGTGTTGGGTGACATTACTTTTAAAAGTAATTTTTATATACACACACACTGGCCACTTTATTAGGTACACCTGTCCAACTGCTCGTTAACACAAATTTGAAGACCACACTAAGAACAGGAAGCTGACGCTACAATTCACACAGGCTCATCAAAATTGGACAATAGAAGATTGGAAAAACATTGCCTGGTCTGATGAGTTTCGATTTCTGCTGCAACATTCAGATGGTCAGAATTGGGAGTCAACAACATGAAAGCATGGATCCTGGCTTGTATCCGCAGTTCAGGCTGGTGCTCGTGGTGAAATGGTGTGGGGGATATTTTCTTGGCATAAATTGGGCTCATTAGTACCAACCAAGCATCGTGTCAACACCACTGCCTACTTGAGTATTGTTGCTAACCATCTCCATCCTTTTTGACCACAGTGTACCCATCTTCTGATGGCAACTTCCAGCAGGATAACATAAAGTGTGAATCATCTCAGACTGGTTTCTTGAACATGTCAATGAGTTCACTGAAACTCAAATGGCCTCCACAGTCACAAGATCTCAATTCAATAGAGCACCTTTGGGATGTGGTGGAACGGGAGATTCGCATCATGGATGTGCAGCTGACAAATCTGCAGCAACTGCGGGATGCTATCATGTCAACACAGAGCAAAATCTCTGAGGAATATTTCCAGTACCCTGTTGAATCTATGTCATGAAGGATTAAGGCAGTTCTGAAGGCAAAAGGGGGTCTAACACGGGTACTAGTAAGGTGTACCTAATAAAGTGGCCGATGAGTGTATAAATCTTAAAATAAATAAATAAACACATGCATTCACATTACTTTCCTTCAAAGTAACTAAGTAAAATATTTAGTTATTTTTAAAAAAGTGACTTAAGATTGTATACTACTTATACTACTTTTAAAAATAGCTTTACTCAACACTGCCCATGAAGCACTGCGAATTAATTAATAAGTCAATGGTTATGAAAAGGAATATTTGTCTATTTATAGCAGTTAATAAAAAAACCCTACTAAGTATAGTATTTTATTTAATATTGAACCTTGTAAATGCTTCATGAAAATGTTTTAGTGTCTAGTGTTTGGTATTCAGTCACAGCAGTGCTGTTTTACATGACCTTTGCATAGCAGTTCATCTTTTAATTTAAAACATGACGTTTTGGGCCAAATATATTAAAAGGACAGAAAAAAATGTACACCCACATAGCTATGATGATAATCTTTTGACGATAAAAGTTAATGAATATGTACAGCCATTCTAGTGATAAACACATACTGTATCTCTTAATATTTAAAAATCATTATTGCAATAATAATAATAATAATTCCTTACATTTATATAGCGCATGTCTGGGCACTCAATGCGCTTTACACAATGGGGGGGAATTTCCTCATCCACCACCAATGTGCAGCATCCACCTGGATGACGTGACGGCAGCCATTTTGCGCCAGATCGCACACCAGCTGATTGGTGGAGAGGAGACAGAGCGATGAAGCCAATTATTATATGGGGAGGGTTTGGAGGCCAAGATGTAAAGAGGCCAGTGGGCAGATTTGGCCAGGATGCTGGGGTTAAACCCCTATTCTTTTTCGGAGGACATCCTGGGTTTTTTAACAACCACAGAGAGTCAGGACCTCGGTTTAACGTCTCATCCGAAAGACGGCGCTCACTGAGCAGTATAGCATCCCTGTCACTATATTGAAGCATTAGGACCCACACAGGCCGCAGGTTGAGCACCCTCTGCTGGCCTCACTAACACCACTTCCAGCAGCAACCTAGTGTTCCCATGTGATCTCCCATCCAGGTACTGACCGGGCACAGCCCTGCTTAGCTTCAGTGGGCGACCATGTGAGAGTTGCAGAGAGCTAGCTGCCGGCATATATTTAAAAATGTTTTAAAAATGTCAAAAAATCTACACTTCCTGTTGCTAGCAACTGTACATTTACTTTTAAATGCATGATATGAAACGTCAGATGTGGAGATACCTGCTGTTTAAATGATCCTGGCAGCCTCGGACTTCAGTTGAGCTGGGGTGACCGCTGTCTAAAAGTTGCTGGACGATCTGATTAACATCTAGTATCCTTCCCATCAGGCTGTTCATCTCCTGGTCCAAGCTCTCAAACCTAAAACAGAGATAATTATTAGTAAATATCCAATGTTAAATCACTGCTTACAATCCAATTCATCAGTAGATTAGGCTTTTCTGACTATAGAAAAGGTGAAAAACAGCAGTCTCATTGACTTGAGAGTATACGTCATCAACCATGCTGAGAACTGTTCAGCCAGTATGTGAATTAAAGCTAATAATTCATTAATATTCCTTCAGCTTAGTCTCTATTTTAGAGGTCGCCACAGCAGAATGAACCGCCAACTATTCCGACATATGTTTTATGCAGCGGATGCCCTTCCAGCCACAACCCACTATTAGGAAATAAAGCTAATAATATCGTAAATGATGTTTAATTGATCGTTTTGCTTCACAAGAGCTCATAATATCATCAGGAGCCACAGGGATTGATTTGGACTTGTTTATATGTGTTTATTTTTAATTTTAAAAACAGCTGACCATTATACGGCTGATAGAGGGTCAAAGATTCAGCTACAAATCTTATTTAAAGTCCGTGTTAAATCAGAACTGATAATGTAATGTGGATTTATATAGCACATTTATTGTGTATGGCCATACACCCAAAGCGCTTCACAATCAAGAGGGGGGGTCTCTCCACACCACCACCAGTGTGCAGCATCCACTTGGATGATGCGACGGCAGCCACAGGACAACAGCACCAGTGCGCTCACCACACACCAGCTATTGGGGGATGGGAGAGACAGTGATAGAGCCAATTCGGTGGATGGGAATGTTTGGGAGGCCATGATGGGCAAAGGCCAATCGAGGTAATTTAGCCAGAACCCCGGGGGTTACACCCCTACTCTTTATGAGAAGATTTTTATTGGATTTTTATTGACCACAGAGTCAGGACCTCAATTTAACGTCTCTTCCGAATGACAGCGCCTACTGACAGTACGGTGTCTTCTTTACTTTCACTGGGGCATTAGGGCTCACACAGGCCACAGGTTATGCCGAGTTCAGACTGCATGACTTTGACTCACCGATTTTGACTCGCCGACAGGTTTTGAGAAATCCCAGGCAAATCGGTGCTCGTGTACGCGAGTGACAATCACACAGCGTGAACTATCAGGGACGTGATTTGAAAGAATCGCCGATGAGTCGTCAACGCTCGTGAGATATTTGGCATGCTAAATATCTTGAGTTGTCGGCGATTCAAATCATGCCGTGTGAAATGAGTTTTGACTGAATAACATCGGCGATCACCTACAGCCAATAAGAGAGCAGCATTCACTAGCGTAGGCAACTGCAGGCCAGCGGGAGGATAGAAGAGAAGTTAAAAGTGCTCATTTTCAGTTTATTTGGACCTTAGAAATGGAGGAAAAACTAGCAGAAATATGACAGGAGCACTGTGTCTGTTTGACGTGTCATGTGAGCAATATCACAACTGGGTTGAAAAAGAAAAAAGCTGAGGGGAAATTGTTAATTTCCTTCAAACATATCCCATCACGCACTGCACTCACACACCAGTTCCAGATCACCCATTGATTCCACACATACAGCTGAAGCTCGTCATTACTGATTGATTGGACTATATACCCCCAACACACACACACTGATATCCAGTCTTGTTCACTGATATCCAGACTTGTTATCACTAGTGATCTTTATGAAGCAGTTACCTTGTTGTTCCTAGCCGTTTTTACCCTGGTTTGTTTGTTTACTGTTTATGTTGTTTTGTCGCCTGCCTCAACCTCTTCCCTGTGATTTCTACTTTGGATAAATAGTGGTGGGCAGAGCAAGGCTTTATGAAACACTGAAACGGTCAAAGCAAATGTGTCGAAGTTTTGAAACCTTTCTAAACCCTTCTCTACAGTGACACCTAGTGGTCATTTTTTTTACTTTTGCTATGAAAAAACGTCCACAAACAAACAAGTACACCAACTGAGGAATTATACCCCACATTGTTTAGCCGCAACATCAAGGGATCTAGTAGAGTGGTTAGTGTTAATGTCATGCGGAGATAATGGCGTTGAATTCAGGATAAAGCAACTATAGTAATTTGAAGTTACTTTGTTTACTGTTCTTGTAACGTGTTTTGTTTTAACATTGGTCTGACATCTGAATAAACTCTGTGTTGTT